AAACCACAACTTTATTAGTACATGTTGGTACTATTGGTCATTTCAGAAACAACTTGGTTCAGCTAATACAAACTTTGAATGCACAAAAGAATGTTATTAAAAGGCACGGTATCAAAGTTGATGGCAAGACCTATCAAGTGAAGTTTACAGGTACATTAATATGATGTCTTAAAGGTCTAGTTTCTATAGCGGATTATCCATGAGCTGTTCTTTAGTGGAGTGTTGGTCTTTCCAAATTATTTATATTAAGTATGGCTGTTATGTCTAACATCATGCTTATTCARCYAAACTATATGCTAATGAAGTAATAAAAGTTTGYGGACCAGTGGTTGCATGTGTAATCATTGGTAGAAATTGGGATGGCTCAGGAACAGCATTAACATTTAAATCAAACAGGAATGCCAATATGCAGAATGCCAAGCCATATCAGTTGTAAGCCATGCTCCATTGATTCAGACAGCAAATACATACAGTAGTGGTACCTTCCATGAACTTTGCTGCAATAAAGTACACCTCATGGAAAGTCTGCCTTTTTACTATACACAAGTCACACCTTTAAAAGTTTTGTTTGGAATTCTCATGGATTCAAAATGTATTATACCAACAACAAACCATTTCATGTCTAAATAATAACAAATTTGGGATGTTCTAAAAATGTAAGTATGTTTAAAGTTTTTTATTTATTAGTAAGTATTTCAATTTTTCTATGCAATTTATTTCAGTAAAACAAAGAGGAAAGAATGTAATTTAATGATATTATTAATTTTTCCTGCATATTTAAATCTGTTTAGTTACCATTGACTACAAAGCCCTCCTGCTCCTCCTCAGGAAGAAAGATGATGATAAGTATGTCCTCGGAGGCAAAGGTTATGGTACTGAATTTTGTGCTTTCTGTGATGCCATAAGGGTTAGTATAGTAAAATTTAAAAAAAGTAAAATTCAAGATTTAAAATTCTTAAGTACAGCAACATCTGCCAATGTTACCTATTATTGATAATATGAAACTTAGAAGTTGTAATTTATTCATTTAGGCATGCACACAACATGGGGCAGATATAGATGAGACATGCGTAGACTGTCTGAGATCAAAAGCAAATATAGGAAGGTACACAGCACCCATTTGCGTTTTGCCAAGTAAAATATATCTTTATCAGTTCCCATATATATGGCATGCTACTATGTAATAAGATTCCTTCAATCCATATATCATACTATTATACTATACTTGACTACAAGCTGATAATGATATATCTTTATTTATCAAGGGTCAAAACTAATTGCATTCAATAGTAATGAATGTACTTTGCAGTCATACGATAAAAGTTTGGACCCCCTCCTACTTCTGATATAAATG